CACTGAATTCTTTTTATTTTTGATTCATTACTGCTGATCAATTTAAAACTTTTGAACTTCCTCATAAATATCCATAAGAACTTTTTTTGAAAAAGATTTTTATTTCAAAGCAGAATATTTGCCATCAGTTTTAGTACTAAAATATGACTTATTGTTATGGTGTGTTATGACACATTTTTTAAAAAGGAGACTAGCAGAGGGCCTTGGAGAATGGCATACTTGACCTTGTTTTTCCCATATGTGAGTTAGGAATGATAATCCCTGTTATGAGCCATTAAGGCAATGTCTATAAAACTCTTTGAGATCCTCAGAAGAAAAGTTTTATGTGTATAGGATTTTACTGTTATCTACATCGTTTACTAGGCATCTTCAGCAAACGTTGCAATCTGATTTGAGTTTTTCACCTTTATAATTATACCTTTACATGTAAACTTGTCCTAAAAACCTTTTCTAAGGAAAAAAAAATCATCTGTTTCCTTATTTGATGCAAGGTTCTCCCCCTTCCCATATATAGTAAGCGAGCTTTTTCTAGGTACTTTTTCTTCAGCTCTATCTATTACGGAGGGTATTATAGTTCAGGCTGGCCTTGTAGAAGTGGAGGACCCCAAGTTAGACAATGAGCGTATCAAAATTATTCTTTTGCCACTAAAGTCCATCATGAAAGACAGGGCTGCTCTACCTCCTGGGGAGAAATGTGGCAGTATTGTTTGTGACGAATGAGTAGAATTTACTTACGCCCAGTCTGTTTCCAAAAGAGAGTTTGATACACTGGTTGACTAATACCTTCGTTGGGAGGGGCCCTATTAGAATACTCTTACTGTCAGGGATCAGAGTGGCAGTAAGAGCTTTGGGTTCAAGGCTTGGGCTTCAGAAAATCTTCTTGCACATAAAGTGAACCTTGGCTTATAACAAACCCTATTTTATGTCCCTTAACATGATACGGAAGGGTAGGGAACATGAGCACATGTAAGCTATTCTAAGCTGATTGATGCCAACACTAATGGGCATTCCTATTTGAAATACACTGACATCCTTTTAAAAGTCATATAGACTGAAAGTTTCTTTTATTGGAGGCAGTATACATTGGTTCTCAACTTTAGCATGCATAGGAAACCTCCTTGAGCCCCTGTCCCAAAGATTCTGACTTAGTATGTGAGGTAAGGCATGGGAAACTTCAATTTTAACAGGCCCTATAGTTGAATTTAGAGCAGGTGGTCTGAGGACATTTGAATTCTAGGGCATTCTGTGAGTCTTGGAACCAGTCAGGTGATCTCTGGCAAAAGGCACTTAGTCTTTGCTAAGCATCAGTGCCCTCATGATGAAAGGAAGGTTATAATACATAACTATACTAATATATAACTTTTGGGGTTTTTTAAAAGTTAGATTAGATAAGTAAAACACTTAGTTCAGTCCCTGGCTCACAGCATGAACTTAATAAATGGTCTTTCTAGCAATTAAGTGTGGAGATTCTGTTTCTGGGTAAAATGGAGTAAGCACATTTCTCCCTGTCCCACCCACGGAACACAGTGATAAAACCTGTACAGAATGCATGGAACATCTGTATGAGGACTGTGAGAAGTAAGTAATAGCAGGAAAATTGGGAAGGAATACCAGAATTTGAAATACCTCTAAACTGGCAGTAAGTTTACCATTTTTTCCCTCTGATTATTCCTTTACATGAACACAGCCTGAAACCTGGGAGTGGGCCCCAGGGAACAGAGCTGAGTTCCAGGAGATGCCCTTCATTCCTGGTGCGGGGAGCATAAAAGTGGAGTCTAATGTCAGAGAGAGTGTGGACATCCTCCCTTTTTGTCCTCTCGTTTTCTCACCCCCCAGCCTCCAAGCAGTCCTGTAGCGGCAGCGGTGGGTGAGCAGCAGCCAGACTCCGAGGAAGGGGACCTTTCTTGTATCTGAGCTGTGATCCCAAAAGACAGGGCTGAGTCCTTGATGCTTTTTCCTCTGCCCTCCCACTGACTGGGCTCTGCCCTGGAAGTATGCTGGGGAGTAGGGTAACTAGAGGGGAGCTCTAGTTGCAGAGAGGGAAAAGCTTCAGAAAGGGATCTGTGAAGTTGTTTGTGAACTCCTGCGCTCACCCCTGAGCTGCACATGCATTGATCTGGTCCTAATCAGGACACCGACGATGTTGAGAACTATTAACAAATAGACAACTTCCCAGGTTGCAGCATGACCATTAAGTAGGGCACAGGTTCAAAAAGCAATTGCAAAGGCTTTGAAAACTGAACTGACAGTAGAACCAAAGGACATAGAAGGTGAGTTGGAACTTGCAGACTGAACTTAACCAGGTGAACTGCTTGCTAAAAACAATAACAACAGAAATTTTCTGTAGCATTTAAACAAGTCTCAGAGGCTCATAACATAATATTCAAAATGTCCAGGATACAATCCCAAATTACTCAGCATATGAAGAACCAGAACCTGCATGAGAAAAGACAATCAGTAAATGCCAATGCCAAGATGATACAGATGTGGGAATTAACTCATGAAAACTTTAAAACAGCCATTATAAAGATACTCCAACAAGCATCGCAGACACTTAAAATAAATAGAAAAGTAGAAATGTCCAGAAAAGAAATAGAAGATTTGAAGAAGAACCAAATGAACATTTTAGAACTGAAAAATACAACCACCAAATACAGGAACAAACACCTCACTGAATGAGCTCAGTAGCACAATGGAGGTGACAGAGGAAACAGTCAAGGAACTTGAAGATGGATAAATAGAAATTATTCAGTCCGAACATCAGAAAGGAAAAAAAGATAGTCCCCTCCCAAAAATGAAAGAAAGAACAGATACTCAGGGACCTGTGGGACAATAACAAAAAAATCTAATATTTATGTCACTGTAGTCCCAGAAGGAGAGAAGAGAACAGACTGAAAAAAATTGAAGCCATTGAAGAAACGATGGCTGAAAACTTCCCAAATTTGGTGAAAGATTAAAAACATACAGATTTAATAATTTCAGCAAACCCCAAATAAGATAAATCCAAATAAATCCATGCCCAAGTACATCAAAATATTACTGCTGAAAAGTAAAGACCAAGAAAAAGCATTTGAAAGCACCCAGAGAGAACGACGTGTTGTTGATACATTTGGGGGAGCACTGACTCAATTGACTGCAGCTTTCCTGCCAGAAACGGCAGAACCCAGAGAGAAGAGGCACAACATGTTTAAAGGGCCGAAAGGAAAGAACCGTAACTGCAGAATTCTATATCCAATAGAAATATCCTTAAGAAATGAAAGTTAAGTAGATAACCTCCCCTACATTCTCCCTTCTTTCCCATCCTTCTTTTTTGAACAAACACATGCTTTCGTATCTCTTTGGGGAGAAACAGTACCTACTTGGAATATTTCACATTTATTTAATGCTTAATATGTCAAGCACTTTCACTTACATTGTTTCATTTTGTCCCAGGCAGCATTCTCTTTCAAGCACCTAAAGCATGGTTATGACCACAGCTCTTGAAGCAGTCTCTCTAGAAACATTTTGAATGCTGGCATAGTTGAAGACAGAAGGATAATTACTTTACCCACTATTTAACACCAACTTTCAAAGAGAAAAGAGGTCCAGTAAGTCATATTCAGAGAAGGAGACATGAGTGCACCCCAGTTACCATTGAGTGCAAACACTGAGTAGTTTTTTATGTAGCTTACACTGTATTCTGGGTGAGGCCACATTTATAAATTTAACATGTGATCTAGTGAAGGCACTTGCTTTTTCTTGAAATGACTTGTTCACTCTTGGTGGGGGAGGGTGTGTTTTGATTCCTGGATAAGGCTTGAGGCCAATTCTTGGATCAGGTGTGGTGACAGGGAGGTTTCTAGAAAGGGCACTGTATATGGTGTCACTTTTTAAAATCTGAGAGAGTAATGCTGTCTTTATTATTCCTAAAGGAAATGAATAAGTGAAACATGTGAAAGAGAAATTACACCATTGAGATGCTCTCTTTACTTCAGGGAATCTTCTTCACTTCTCTCTCCTTTGTAAGATGATTAATGGATTGACTTTATTTAAACTGTGGGAAACAAATGAAACCATTAAGTGTTTATATTTAAGGCAAATACATTAATAGAGGTCGTGAAGCTTTCTGTAGGCCACATGGCCTGCCCCTAGCCCATAAATGCTCCTTCTGACTTTCCAACGCAAGTGCCAAACACTGCCTCCACACATTCTTTTTAAAACTTCTTTTCCATTCCAAATCCACTTGGTACTTTCATTATGGTCTTGTTAAAATTGCAAGATGTCCACTGGGACTTCCAGGATAGATTTTCTCTTTACTGAGGAGGAGCAAAAGAGGAAGTATATAAAAGCACTTCTATTTGTTATTCCTTCAGGGAGTCATAGTAAAGAAAAATAGGGACACTTCTATAGGAGGAGTATCTTTTAATTTGACATTGTTTTAACGGTAAGCATTTGGGGCAAGTGTGTATGCTTCCCCTTTATTTTAGCACCTTGTACAACATCCTGGATAGGACTACTGGGACAGATAATACTATTTTATTTACATGTGGAACAAATAAGTGAATGTACCTACAAGATATATGTTGATTATGAGCTTGATGTAAGTGCAGACTTGCACTTATGTTATTGGTTCTTAGAATTAGGTCAGTTTTACCCAATTTGTACCTCTATCTCTGTTTCCTCTAGATAAGACTTACTGTGGGAATCTGATAACTCTTTTCCTATATTCTCATAAATGGGTACAAGATATTACGGGGGGTCTGATAACTGCTTTTCGGTTTTCCTGTATGTAGGCACATGCTTAAATGTAGTAAAAACTTCTTATAAATGAGAAAACCAGTCACCAGCATGACCCATCCTAACTGCATGATCCTTCCCTCCGTATATCCTTGTGTTAAGAAGTATAAAGACCAGCAAGGAATGGTCTTGAGGATGGAGTGGTATGTCCTGAACACTAGTACCCACAGGCAGGTACACAAAAATTTTGTGAATTCCACTTTAAAATTCTTTTTCCCTTTTAGATCTTGAATTTGCCTGAACTGATTGATGATTCCAAGTATAGAACTAACCACCTTCGGGTACAGAATAGAAAAGAGCTTATTAAAATACTATCGACACGGTAAGCTTGGCTCTACTGTTTGTACCTTTAAGAATTAATATGTTATTAGCATTTATCTGGCATTTTATGGTGCTCTTTTTGGCTTATTTAGATTAACTTATAATTATCTTTCATTTTACAAAATTCGTTAGTGGAAATATATTTTAAAGCTATGTTTTTCTTTGTTTGAAAGCGTTTGAAAGTATTTCACATGTCTTTCTAAGTATTGCATCATAACAACGATACAAATAAGAACATCACAATAGCTTGCATTAGTTGCTTCTCTGTGGCATGTAAGTGTTTGGGTTTAGTCTATCATAAATACTAACAGTAATAATTCAACATCATTTTTTACATTTACTGTATGAATCGCTCTACATACACGATCTCATTTAACCCTTATAATCATCCCGTGAGGGAAGTTCTATTATTTCCATTTTACAGATAAGGAAACTGAGATAAGGGAGGTTCAGTCAAGAGCTTGTTGGCTTTTCTGAGCCTCTCTGTGTAGTTTGTCATGTTGATGTTTTGAAAATGGCAGATTGAGTCATAAAGGATTAATGCTGACCAATTAGAGTATTTGATTTTCAAATTATTCCATTCATGTCAGGTTATACTTTTGTTAAAACCTGTATCAATTTTTCAAGTTTGCCTCAGAAAAAGTTAATAATTCTTATTCTTTCCTATCAGTTTCACTTTTGTTTACATCTAACTTCTCGATCTATAGGAATAGATAGTGGTTTTTGTGGATCTCAATGCCCATGTGAACCGTTCTTCAGTATGGAACATTTGCTCTCATCAAACCAATAAATTAAGGACTTTTGTTCAAATACAATATCTTGTCTTTTGAAAATGCCCTTGTGTTTCCATGTAGCATAGATATATCAAAGTTCTTAGACTCATAGATATCGAGAACAAACTGAGTACCAGTGGGGAGGTGGGGGAGGGACAATACAGGGGTAGGAGAGTGGGAGGTACAAACTACAGGGTGTAAGATAGGCTACAAGGATGTAGTGTACAACACGGGGAATATGGCCAATATTTTCTAATAACGAAATGGAGTGTAACCTTTGAAAATTGTATTAAAAAACTAACAAACAAGCGAAAGTTCTTAGAAAAAAACTTCTGCTAATATTATGTTTATTCCTCTTCCCTTCTCCTTTGGGGACCTCTACATGAGTCTGCATTCATTACCTATTTGCTTTTTCCTGGATTTTAAGCACTTCTCTATGCTGCCTGTATCTCCTCCTTCAACCAATGGGGCCTCTGTGTGTGGGACTGATATGCAGAGAAGAGGGGAATGAGAATTGGTCTCCCCTTTCTTGGTCATTAGTTAAATAAAACTCAGATTCTACTGCAAAGCCGGAGAGCCCTCAGTCATTAACATTTCACCCCATGAGAATTGGCCCTTTATCTCTGCTTTTTGCCTCTTTGCCTCTCAAGCAGTTTTTGATTCATTTAATTCATTGATATGCCTTTTTCCTTTCACACCACGGTTACCAAGTTTCAATAACAGGCACTTGTGAGAACCTTATCAAAAGCTCTTGGAGAGTCTAAATAAATCACATCCATGCTGTGAGAAGAATGGACCGAAGAAAAATACAAAACCTAGGCAGATACGTGTCATCTTGTTACTGAGTTGCCAGCACTCTTCTAACTTTAAGAACCACAGAGTTAAATTATTGGTTTCCTGTGTCCTAAAACCTGTATTCCTTGCTAAATTCTGTTATAGAATTCTATTGTGGACAGACTTCTAGCAGCATCTGTAACAGTTTAATTTCAAATTTCTCTTTTTGGGGTGAGTTAAATAACCTAACACCTTCTTCTTTCTCCTCTTATAGACCCAGAAGTGGGAGTTTCAGCATTTTGGAACCCATAGGTTCTTATATCTTTATTCAGACTTAAGGAATCAAACTTGTAAAGAAGAGACTGGAGGGTAGTCTTAAGAGAGGAAACTTGATAAGGGACTTGCCTTCATCATCATCCTGCTGTTAAAACACAGACCACAGAGAGGCTCTTGGGTGCCCAGAGGCCAGGGTCCCTGCTCTCTTGGGCTGGTGTGTGGACGTGTTTTGGTGGTGTCTTGTGGGATGCAGTTCTACAGTCTCTTCCAGCTCAGGTCTCTTCTCCTCCGTGGTGGATCAAACAATGATGACCAGGGAAGATTAGGATATTGATTCAGTCCCATCAATAACCTTATCATTTGTTTTTCTGAATAAATATCCCTGGATTCATTAGTACTGTTAAGTGTTGGGCTTTCAGAAGTCTCTGTGAATGTTGTAAAATGTCTCATTTTCATGATATGATTTTATGTTTTTCCAATATTCAAAATATTAATGGCTCTATATTAATTACATGATTAGATCTGGTCATTTTATTCTGACATCATGGCCTTCCACAATCTGACATGACCTTTCCTTTCCACCTTTTCTCAATATAAAGGAATAATATAGGGAGGTGGGTCCAGAGGGAGAGAGTAGGGGGAGTTGGCAGGAAAATCATGCTGTAAAAGTTATAATAGTGTTTATGATAAAGGAGTTTCTGAAACTTGTGAAACAAAGGAAAGTTTTTGGCCATAAAATGAGTTAGCTTGTCAACAACTTCTGTTTTCTGTGTAACCTGATGATAGGTCTTTTTTTTTTTCTTCCAGTTTTATTGAGATATAATTGACATATAATGTTGCATTAGTTTAAGGCACACAAATAATGATTTGATATATGTATATATTCTGAAATGATTACCCTAGTAAGTTAACATCTGTCACCTCACAGTTACAAATCTTTTTCTTCCCTTGTGATGAGAACTTTTCAGATCTACTCTCTTAGCAACTGTCAAATATACAATACAGTAGTATTAACTATAGTCACCATGCTGCACATAACATCCTCAGGACCTATTTATTGTATAACTGCAAGTTTGTGCCTTTTGAGCACCTTCACCCATTCCCCCCCACCCTGAAGAGACATCTTGAAGGGAATACTCTACCTGGTAGAGCTCGAAGTTTTCCAGCAACTTAGAACCAGCAAAAACTTCCTTCCACACCTGAAGAGACCTAGGGACTCAAGAGTTTCAATGGAACATGCTTCTCATTTGTTCCTTCTCTTACTCATCTATTTAACACGTATTTATTGACTACCTACTATGTGCCAGTGACTGTTTTGGGCACAAGGAAGATGGCTTCAAACACAAAACAAAACTAAACTCCCTGCCTGCCTGGACTTTCATTAGAGTAAACCTTGTAGACGTTCTAGAAGACTTTTCTTTAAGACCTCTTCCATAAAAACATGTGTTTTGATATGCCTAAGAAGTTAGCTGTCCGTATTTTTCATATAAACTTTTTGTAAATTTTGCTTTACAAAAGTATTGCAGCTACAGTCTGTGCCTGCTAATAACTTATTGTCTTTTTGTCTTTTCGTGAGCATATTACAGTGCACATGCTACAGTTTTCTGTGTGTGTGGTTTTCCTGTCATTTCTATAGGAAAGCATATTTTTGGTAACAGTAGCTACATTACCATGTGAATATACCATGTTTTTCCCTGTAGTCTGCTATTAAACATTACATCATAAAACTTAGCTTTAATGCTCATAGACACTTTCATCAGCCTATATTTCTATTTTGGAAAATCTTTAAAATACATTAAAATGTAGAGGGGTTTGTGAGAGTGAATTTGCACTTCAGACAACTTTTAAAAAATCTCTAGTGATGATGGGCTCATGGTGTTCCTTAAAAACAAAACAAAACAAAACGTCGCACCCCTTTCATCCAATTCGATATCCAAAAGTGAAAACAGAAGCATTTATGGATTTTTACAAAGTTTGCTCTCCTAAATACAAATAAAGGCTCCCTCTTGTGTTTCAAAATCTTCCTTCCAAAGTATTTTTCCTAAGTTTTGATTAATTTCCTGAGTAATTTCCCAAAGTAACTTTCCTGCCCATGGCAAGCGTTCATTTAAGTGTTTTAGAATCAGGTGATTCTCTTTGCATTCTCCTCTGCAATTCATAGACTCTTTAGAAAGTGCCTACCAGGAATGTCAGTCATTTACCTCGCTTTTCTGTCACTCTTGCTAAATTCAGTTTGATGCTGCTCCCTGAGAGTTGTCAGCCTCACTTGGAAAGGCAGCTGCATGTTTTTGTCATCAGCGGAGTTTTCCATAGCCAGCACAAACACAATCCCTCTCAAGTGCTCTCAGGTGTTACTATTCCCCAACTGTGGCCGTGAGCAAGTTTTGTGTTTTTTTTAATTTAAAGGTGGAAGACTTTCCCCTTGAACTTGCCATTTTATCCAGGGTGTTTCAGAAAGTCTGTTTACCCAGCTGCTAAGACCAAAAGCGAGGCAAAACTAAAGCATGTTAAAAGTCCCCAGCTAAAACACAGAAGAAAAGATAAGATCGAGACTAATGCAGAGTCTGTTACAACAAACCCCTCCTTTGCAAAGCTAAGGAGCAACAAACTCCTCAACCTGTGCTACCCACACACGGGACCAGCATTTTTGCAATAGTTCAGACCTCGCGGGAGAGACTAAAAATCATGGTGTGTATTGATACTGAGAAGAGAAGGATTATGATGATGTATTAGTAGTTGGGGAGAAATAATAGGAAGACATGAAATGAGGATGAAGGAAAAGAGAAATAATAGGGAAAATAGAAATACAATTCATTTTATTCCTCCTGCTTCCTCTCTTCATCAGCGTTAATGGCCACTGACTGTGTGCCCTTGTCCTGCAGATACAGAGATGAAAGAAGAGGTGGCTCTTGGTCTAAGTAGGAAAACAAACAAGCAAAGCAATGAATTAAGTAGTGTGTGTGAAGTGCCACTATACACATACACACAGGGTGGTGGGAGCCCAGAGAAGGGGCGACTACCTCAATCTGGGCAAGTCAGGGAAGGCTTTCCTGCAGACAGTGCCAGCTGAGGTGAGTCTTTTTTTTTTTCCAGTTGAGATGAGTCTTAAAGGACAAATAAAATTAGGCAGGTGAGGAAAAAAAGATAGTTCACATCAAAGGAGGAAATATCAAACTGA